TTATGTTTTTGTTATTTGTCTCCCGAACATTTTTTCACTTGTACGTTTACTTATAGTATTTAATCTTATTGATCTTATTATTAATCTCGTTTTCTTATTGTATTTATTTTTGTATTATATCGACTGCGATTTCCTTCAATATAGATATAGTTCCGATGCATGGAGAAAGTGATCTTGTGGAGTCGTTTATGTTTGGCCAAGGACAATTTAAAACCATCGTTAGCATGTTTATTTGATTTTGTTATCTGGAATGAGTGATTTACGGAGGTAAGTTAATATGTGATCTACTAACGTCGAAAATATATCAAGTCGAAGGAATAGTTTTGGTCTCGGTTCGCATTTTTGCCAACAAAGTAAACACATGGTCCGTGTGTCATTCGGCCATTCAATTTTCGTTTAAAATCAAAACTTGAAAATTAATGTCAATTTTTTATTTTCGTTACATTTTATCATAAAAAATACGAAAGTGCCAAATCGAAAAATTGGGCGATTTTGCAAGACTCCAAATGTAGATACAATGTGTACTTGCCTGAAAAGCTCGAGAAAGCCTCGAAACTGTCATATCCCCCGCTGCTATTCGTAATTTAAACACTTTTCCGTCCCTAGTCAAATCAAAGGTTTTATTGCCTGCCATGATGTCAACGAACGGACAGTCCAAAAGAGCGCGAAACTTTCACTTCCTTCGCAGACTCTAGGCGGGCCATTGGGGAGAGGTTGGTATCAGAAATTTACCCCATCCATCTCCCTCACCTTCACTCCAACCAGGTTTTACAGTATGGCGTCTGAAAAGTCGATATGGCTACATCACCCGCTCCAATATGCTCCAATACGAAGTCTAAGATCTTTTTAACTTCTTAGCTAACGTCCAAAGTCGCTGTAATGGACAGAACTGAGGAAGACGCTACAAAACGTCGTGAAAGACCGCGAAGAGACAGTTAAACTCTCACTTCATTCCCAAACCTATAAGCAAGGAAGCGGACCTGGCCATATGGAGAGGGCGCTAGGGGCAAAAATTATCGTGCGAATGGACCCTTCCCCCACCCTCTTGGGTAGTTCTGTCCACGATTTTGAGTGTTTTGGCCGAAAAACAAAAATTGAAAATTGATTGCAATTTTCAATTTTCAATGTTTACACTTCCTCCGAAAACAGAAAAACTAAGCCATGCCACCGACTGCAGCATTGTCGGAAAAGCAAATTTGCCGCTCAGTTTCATTTTTCTCTTTATTGTTGACAGGATTAAAGTAAAAATATAAGTTATGTTTCAATATTCTATCAAAAGGAAAAAAAGTCAAAAATTTTCGATTTGGCACTGTCTTATTTTAAATAAGTAAAAAAGTAACGAAAATCAAAAATTGACATCAATTTTCAATTTTTGATTTTAAACGAAAATTGAATGGACAAATGACACACTGACCCTCTATAGCCACTTTTATTACGTTGGTAAAATCTGTACAGACATCACACCAACCGACTTGCGCACAAAGTGAGAAGACTATATGAAGGCTTGAAATTATATTAAGATCGATTTTGATCAAGAAATGGGCCAGGAATATTCCACAATAGTGCAAATAATCGTAAAGCTGATCCCCTAAAACGCGATTGCGTGACGCTCGGTCAGTTGTAAGATGACATGTTATCATATACCAGAAAGATTCTCATTCTGTATTTTGTACCCACTCTGCCGTGTGCAGTCTACATTTTGTGCCTAGTCTAAATTTTTTATCCGGTTTGCAGTCTGCATTTTGTACTAACAGGTATCCGTGGCACCAATACAGTTTATTTTTGGTTACAGCTATTCACACAACACACACAATCTACCACAAAATACCTGTGTGTGAGTTAATTCGACATTTTCGTTCTTTTCCGCGTTAATACTCCTCTTTCCTTTTGTAAAAATGTAGACATCTCTTACAGTGTTTTACTTAATCCACCCATCCCAAAAAATAACTCTTGCATGCATAGCATGCCTATGTTTTCTTTTGTTTTTCATTTTTAAGCGGAAGCGGATAACAAAATTGATACTCTTTGCGTTCATCGTTTTACATTTGCCATCGTTTATGGGAAAAGAGAACGAACACTTGGCAGTAAAACGAGGTAAAGCGGCACGAACGCGACTATCTTTCGCCATCTTGAAAATTTAATAATAATAATGTAAATGTTATTTCTTCTTTAATTAAGTTTAAGTAAGCCTTATTTTTGTTTTCATGTAATTTCCAGTGAATTTTAGAGGGGGTTAGTAAAGGAGGGTCAGTAGGGGGTCAGTTGACCTGGGGTCAGAGTTTTGTTGTAGCCTCATAAAATAAGGGTTTAGGGTGAGAGATTAAATAAGGCAAGAAAAAGTTAGCATGACTAAGGATCTTTCCATTGATTCCACTGTCAAGTACAAGACCACGAGGGGTGAAAATACGCACATTTCAAAGAACATAAAGTGGCCTTCAACTGTGATGTTATTAGTTCTAGCTGATTGCCCAATGCAGTTCATTTACTATTTCACTCGAAACTAAGCCACGAATATTTCATTCCTTCTGTAACTTATATCAGCACTTTCTCGCCCTCTGGAAAATTGGGTGAAAGTGTTTGACAACCTTTCGAAAATATCGCAAAGACAGACAAAACCTAATCTATCTGAACTCACGCAGATATTATTTGATTTACAGTCTCGATTGTCCAAATAAGCTACTAGGCAGTGATTAATCTGGTGGACAGCAAAAAATTCAACCAGCTGTTGGTAAAATATCTGTTCTGTGCAAAAATCTCTGTAAGTTCTGGCTGTTCAGTCATTCAAGTATCAGAACACCTGCAGGTGTTGGAATGGAACTTAACCAGAATTCAGAATATTCTGGAACTCAGCTGCAACGAAGTACAACACGAATGGATCAATTATCATCGTTTATATGATAAGCTGAATTATACATGCACTTTGATTGGTTCTTATTTCAAAATGTGGTAAGTACATCTATGGCACACTCTACTGCGCCTCGTGCACCACTTTTTTGTTCTTTACACATCTTGACATCAGCTATGATCTGTTACTGAATAGACACACAGCAACGCAAAATCTATATCAAATGGAATAACCATTCACTTCACATTTGATTTCCTCTTTTTTTTTTGCTCCTGAACACATGGATGTGCAATGAAAACAGGCTCTCATCTCTGGGTCAGTAGAGAAAAACAATCATCAAGTTAAAATGAAATACATCGGTGCCACGCTTACTGTTGTCTCCTTCGCAGCAGTTGTTTGGTCTCATTACACAACGCCCTCTACTTCCCGTTTAAGAGAGAGCTCGTTGCGCAACGAGACCAAATAGCGGTTGCGAAAGAGACAGCGCTTACTGCCGTTCTTCCAACAGAGAGAAAATCAACATTATTCGTCTGCAATTAGTTACCTCAAAAAAATACGATTCTGTCTAATTTTACACGAAAGCAAACTGAAACTCTGTTGTACCTCCAATAGACCCTAACCAAAGATATATTGCGATCTCGTATAAGCGAAGACACATTGAACAAAAGAAAGGATAATATTTCAAAGAGGGCTCCTTAATTGGTTGTTGCCTTTCTTTCCTTTTCACGTTTGTAAACATATCCAACGAAAACATAAATTGACTTTGTATTTTGTGTTCTTTAGCATTTCTGTTGTAAACGCTTCTCGCCATGCAACAAACACGGGCGCATTAGCACTGTGGGATTGCGTGAGGACGGTCGGGCGGACGGAAGTGACGTCATAACCAAACCAAAATTTTTCGCGTTCATGAGTTTCCCAAATTTTCTTAGCTATAAAAATTATCTCTCTGGTGATAAACACAGTGCACAAAAGGCTAACGGAAAACTATGAAATGAGCCCAAGAATTTTCTTAAGTTTTGGAAGTGAGAAGACGGAAAAACAAATGAACAAGACAAACGGCGAATGGAAACACAAGTAACCAGATGAGTGGCGAACAAACAAACGCTCGAACGCACTGCCTTTTGACCAAACTAATGGCCAAGACGGGCAGCCGAACAAACGCCGGATGACACGCGAGCACAGAAGACCAAATGCGTCAACAGACAACTATCATTGAAATGAACAGCTGAAGGACCGAAAGGACGGCTATATAAATACATCATCTTAAGCTGATTGTGAGCAAAAATTATTATAAGTTTGCATTTTCAAGTAATATTTTCCAGTAATTAGGATTTAAAAAAGTGATTGAAAAAAGAGAACTAAAAAAAAATCAGAATAATATTGTTATGTTGCCTTTATATCCTTTGTTGTTATATACATATTACAAAAAAGGTTTTGAAAAAAATAAGTTTAATTAAAATATGTTTCTTTTTAGAAATTCTTGTAGATCAGATCAATGGAGAAAGGAGAAGTCTTTCTCTGTCCACTCAGTCTGTTCATCTGGTTTCGCGAGTTCCTTCACTAGGTTTTTCATTTCTTCGTTTTCACCGGTGAGCGCTCGGCGAACCGTTTGACCGTTAACTCGGTCATTCGGCTATCCGTTTGCTTTTCCTGTTATTCGTTTGCTCGTTCTTCCGCTCGCGCGTTCGTTTGCGTTTCTGGTTTGTTCAGTTGTTCCTCCGTTTGCCCAGTTCTTCTTGCTATTCATGGGCATAAATAATTAAATTTAACCGATTAAAAATTGTATTAAGCCATTAGGAAGAAGTTTCTTCATGAGAATGATGTATTATTCTAGAAAGTGACATAGGCATACTCGGGAAAAAAGAAATTCGAGTGCTCCTATCAGGAGTTGAACCTAAGATCTTCCGATTACTAGTTCGGATGCTCTACCACTGAGCTACCGGGAGACTCATGGTAGCTAAGGCCATTAAACTAGGTTCATGGGACAAATATCCTGCATACTGCTAGGATTTCAATGTCGAACGTGTGATATATGAAATAAATGTGATGGTATATTATTTCCAGCCTAGTGAATGAATGAGTATGATGTATTATTCTAGAAAGTGACACAGGCATACTCGGAAAAAAAGAAATTGGAGTGCTCCTATCAGGGTTTTCAATAACAAATTCCACAGGACTTTGGACAGTGGTGTCCAGCTTCATAGGGGTGGCTATGGCACTCATCTTTCCTCTTCTCACAGTCCCAGCCGAAGTCCCGGCATGGATCTAGAAAATATATAAAAACGATGAAATTGAAGTGTCTGCTGAACATGTTTTTTTAAAAGAGTATGCCGAGTATGCCTGTGTCACTGACTGAAAAAATACATCCAACAGAGTTTGTTTTGTTTGGCACACAACACGAATGTATGGAAGGCCATCAGGCCCTTATATTATATATATACTTACTGCAATGAACACCACAAGAAATCGGACATTCTCGTAATGTTGCGTACGGGTTACTCTGGCAGTGGCCATCGTTCGCCAAGTCCTTGCAGTCCCATCTCTTATCGTAACATACACCTAGAGAACAAGTTCGCACAGACGTTAAAATTAAGGTTGCTTGGATAAGAAACATGAAAAAAAGAGAATCCGTTAATAGTGTCACTAAAGCCGCGCTGTTCCCAACTCACAAATTAACTATAGTCTGTCTGCTTACATGATATCGACTTGAACTAAATTACTGCAAACACCAATATGGCATCCGTATACAAAAGCGAAGTAGCTTGCCACAAGCCTCCATATTAGCCCAGTAGTTGTATTGTCCGATCAGTATAGAAGGTGATGAGTTCGACTGGGGGCTCTGATTTGTTTTTTGTCCAATTCCTTTGACATGCGCAATAGTTCATCTTTCTTGAGAACTAAAGCTGAGAGATCTGGTCAAACCTATTATTAGTCTTCCCAATCACTGAAAATCCTTTCCCATAAATTTTAATGTGAACAATACCACTCTCTTCAGGAAAGATTTATGTCGTCAGTCGAATTTCTCTACTTCTAGTTTAAAGCCTCCTTAGCCTACAAAAGCAGACGTCTTTTCCCGCTTTTGTTTCACGGAAAAGGCAACTGCTCTTGTAGGCTTCTGCTTCCTTAACAGTCAAATAAAAAATCATTCCCTTGTTGAATATTGAGCGAATGTATCACGCAATGATTAGTATTATAGTGTGAGCAAACAATCAGCCAATCATGTCTATGTCCACGTGAGGTACAACAGGACATTTTTGCGTAGTCTAGAAGAAAAGTGATCGCGATTGTAACAAGCGATGGAGACGAGTATTCGAGAGAGTTTCCAGAGTTTTGGGTTCACATTGTATGGGATCAGTGAGAAATAAAACAATCAGTTAACAAAACCCTAGATGTGGGTTTCTAGGTGATCCTCTGGTTCGCAGTCTATGTGAGCTTTGGATTAGTACTGCAATAATTAAGTCCGACAGCCGAATTCTCTTGTTTTTATCTGTTTTGTCCAAACGTTAAGCATTTTAGTGATTAAAAGTGAGACACTCACCTTTGCAGAGGAAGTATATATTTTTGAATGACAAAAAAAAAACAGACTTAATAAATGCTGCTATTATCTGCATAAAGTACAAATATCCCTCAGATAGTAACGACATTAAGCTGCACCTCTCTGGACCTTATTGATCCAGTGGTGGACAGTCCAACATGAATGAATGAATGAATGAATGAATGATTGAATGAATGAATGATAGGAGTGTAATAAGGAAGGAAAGAAAGAAGGAAGGAAAGAAGAAAGGTAAGAAGAAATTAATGAAAGAACAATTAATAAATCAGTGAACATGAACAATCAGCAAGGTAGGAATCATACCTGCGCCTGTGCAAAATAATAATAAACAAAATAAATACATAAGCAAAGAAATGAATGAATGAACGAACGAACGAATGAACAAATGAATGAATGAATGAACAAATGAATGAATGAATGAATGAATGAATGATTGAATGAATGAATGATAGGAGTGTAATAAGGAAGGAAAGAAAGAAGGAAGGAAAGAAGAAAGGTAAGAAGAAATTAATGAAAGAACAATTAATAAATCAGTGAATTAATGAATCATTGATGGATAGGAAAGACTGAAAGAAGCCTGCAACTACCCGGGGTGGAGTGGGGAAAGTGGGGAGGGGAGGGGGGGGGAAAGGAGAGATTTATGTAAGGATGGATGAATGAGTCGGCCTTACAAATTTTTCCCTGTAGAATTCATAAACTTGTGTTCGAAATGAAATCCTATGCGAGTTATTTTGTTTTGTTTTTGTTTTGGTTTTGGATTTGCTTTTTTTTTTTGCAACTTTGATCTAAAACTATCTACGGACGTTGAATTTACAATATTCCTCAGCGTCTTATCGCTCTGATCTTGTCAAATTTTAAGTATTTGGTTTTCTTTTCTGGAATTAAATGTCTTAAAGAAGGTCTGTTCAGAGTATCCTGATATTCAAATATCCTATATTACATTATGACGATGGAAAATCTATCTGATATAAAAAAAGTGGGTAATGGTTTTGGAAGCTTCTAACGTTGGACTAATTTGCAATCTTAAAAGCTACAAAATTAATTCATTCGAAGCGCATGAGTTAAAATCTCTATTCTTTGACCATGTACTTTTGGGAGAAAAAATTGGGTCAGCCGTAAGTTAGGCTAAAAACGCGATCAGCAACGGTGGTAACCGAGCATTAATGCTGTGCATTAATGTCAGTGAATTGCTTAGACTTTTGTTATGAACACCACATTTTAAAAACAATGAAAGATTCAGCACTATTTTGATTTGTGTATGTGTATTTGTGTGCTTGGGGATGTGAACGGAAAGATACTTACAATATCCAATGCTGCACACCAGCACCAACAGGAAAATTCCACATTTGAAAGACATGCCTGGAGAGCGAACAAACGTTTCAATTTCAAAGTTGTATTTTATTAAAAGATATCTTGACTTGATTATGTACATACTTGATAAAATAAATCACAATGTAGAAAGGCAAGAAATGCCGTCAAAGCTTAGTGAACAACTTTTATCAGGTCGTGAATATAAAACCGTCATGGTTTTTCGTCAATCAAATGTTAAGCATGACGTGCACGTATATACAATCCTAGCTAATAGAGCAAATTATAAACATTATCTCACGGCTGGGAAATCCCATGCACAGAAGCTAACGGAAAAGTAGCTGAAAACAAAAACTGTTTTGAAAGGGAAATTGGTAAGATAACTAGCAATAATGAGAAAACAAGCTTTGACGATTAGTTTTTTAAAACCATTCAAAGAACGTGGACTGTATAAAGCGCCGAAAGTGAGCAACTCGGTCAACAAAATTGTATTAAAACCTAACTAGCTAAGCTAAAGCCTTGATAGCTCAAAATTTAGAAAACACTCACTTCGATGAAGGACAAAGTCTTGATCTATAGTAGCTGCTCTGTTATCTCGGGTTTTTAATCTCCGTATCCTCTGCAGTCCTCTGCAAAAAGATGGTTCAAAACAAAAATGCTAGCAACTTTATGCCTCTCAGTATCCATGGCATCAGCCTTTACTTCGTTCTTTGGTATTTCTGTTTTAATTTTTCTTTTACCCTTGACATTGAACATTGCTTGACGCCAGGCGTGCACTATCCTGTAGCTCTAAATTTGCTAAGCCACGCAGGAAGCTTCTGATGGACATACCCTAATGGAATGCAAATGAAATGCTGTTCTCTGAGCAGGACTTTCTTTAGCGCTTCTTTGTTTTTATCATTTTCTCTTGACATTGAACCGCATTGCTTGAGGCCTAAGCGTGCATTCTCTTGCAACTCCATGATTATGTAGCGCAATTATAATTACTCCCGTGGAATCAAGTTTGAAAATCGTTATCGTTATTTCGATTTTTGTCGACCATTTTCAACAATTTCAACTTCTATTATCAGTTGATAATTGATTGCTAGAAATGTTTTCCTGTAAATGTTTTATTGTAAATACCGACTATATATTAAATATGATTTGATTTAATTTTTACTTTTGGATCGTCAGTAATTTTAGTTTTTTTTTTTGTTTTTTTTTTAATTAATTTTTTTTAGAAATGTTTTCCTGTAAATGTTTTATTGTAAATACCGACTATATATTAAATATGATTTGATTTAATTTTTACTTTTGGATCGTCAGTAATTTTAGTTTTTTTTTTTGTAAAAAAAAACAAAGAAGCGCTAAAGAAAGTCCTGCTCAGAGAACAGCAATTTTTCATTTGAATGCCATTATGGTCAGAGAATTCATCGGAAACTTCTACAAACATTTTTATTTACATGATCTTTCATGAAGCCCTTTGTGAGCACAATCCTTTTTGCATGCGAATCTGGCTCGATTTCAAAACGTGTTTTCATCGAAACGTGTTTAAGGTATGACTTTATTTGAAGAGGGTAACATGTAAGCAGTAACTAAAATTACTTTACTTTAATTATTTTCAAATCTTCCTACTGTTCATCACGGGAAACTTGAAATCCTAAAAGAGATCGCGACCGCAAAAAAAGAACTTCCGAAATTTTATCGCACGTGGGCTTTTTTACTTTAATTTTTCATGCTGCTGTTGTTTTTAGGTTAGACTTATACTTAATTTCATAAATATTTGTTTAAGCTATATCAAAAGTAAATATCCAAAGAAATGTAGCATTTTTGAGACCTGTATGTTTACTTGTGATTGTCTTTTAATTGAAAAGAACTTTGTAAACACGCCAACCGTAAATTAAATTAATGTTAATAGTATTGTAAAATAGTGTATGCATTAAAAAAATTTTGTGTGCATAATTAGTGTAAGTATAAGTATCAGTAGTGTAAGTAGCAAGTACAATGTAAGTGTAATTAATACTGTAAGTAGTGTAAGTGATCGTCTTGTAAATAAAATTGTTTAAAAAAATTAATTAAAAAAAAAATTAATAAAAAAAAAATTAATTAAAAAAAAAACAAAAAAAAAACTAAAATTACTGACGATCCAAAAGTAAAAATTAAATCAAATCATATTTAATATATAGTCGGTATTTACAATAAAACATTTACAGGAAAACATTTCTAGCAATCAATTATCAACTGATAATAAAAGTTGAAATTGTTGAAAATGGTCGACAAAAATCGAAATAACGATAACGATTTTCAAACTTGATTCCACGGGAGTAATTATAATTGCGCTACATAATCATGGAGTTGCAAGAGAATGCACGCTTAGGCCTCAAGCAATGCGGTTCAATGTCAAGAGAAAATGATAAAAACAAAGAAGCGCTAAAGAAAGTCCTGCTCAGAGAACGAAATTTCATTTGCATTCCATTAGGTTATGTCCATCAGAAGCTTCCTGCGTGGCTTAGCAAATTTAGAGCTACAGGATAGTGCACGCCTGGCCTCAGGAAATGTTCGATAGGTTCGATAGGTTCGATAATGTTCCATAGGTATTTTCCCTGTTAAGTCAGATTTATGATGTGTGTGAATGGTACAACTAACTCTGCTGCTAGATATTTCACTGCCTTCAGCATGACATTGTCATGTCCACAGCTTTTTTATGTATCACGATTTTCTAATTCTTTCTTAACTTCTGGTTCACATACATCGGTTATTTCAAGCCTGTTTGCCTACTTGTCAAAATGGCGTCGAAAACCGTGATAAGGCCTATTTTCGTGGTGAGGGTGAAAGGCGGCATAAGTTTGCGGAATGGCATGTGGCATGACCTGCGGCATGGCATGATTATGCGAAATACGATACTTGCGGAATGACTCAAAGGAATAAATTAACTGAAGAGTGCGTCTCTTTTTTGGCGCAATTTTAATATGAGCATTAGCTTTTTCGATGTAGCGGAAAATGCAACAGATGGGCTGATTAGAAAATACAAGCCTGCAGCAGGGATAGACCATGTCTGATCGATGGTTTGGAAGAAGTGAAGAAATCGATGAATACTGTTTACTGTTCTCACATTCAAAGAAATATGAGTACATGTGCCTATTCTCGGGCCCTTTTTGCATTTATCACAATAACTTACCTCAGAAGGGGGGGAGCGGGCTGAGAATTTTCTAGTGTATAGTTCCTTTAATACCTAGACACATCCTATTATAAAAATTGGCTGAGTGAACACCTGAGGTCTCTCCGTAATTTTGAAAAACATTGTAGACGTTGAGCGGCCTATTCTCGGACGCGTACGATCGTTCGCAGATGGCTAATCGCCTTTTCTGGAAGAAAAGTATCTCCTTTATCATGTTAATATACGTCTCGTTAAGGAAAAAACGAAGTAATATTAAAAGAATATGTTACCTTTTCCCGACTTAAAAAACATTTTAAAGTTGGTTTGAGTGAGACCTGTCCCACGGCACCTCCGCCGGGTAATTTTTTTTTTATCACGTATCGCATTTGTTATCTAATTCCACATTTTGATGATTATCCCAGAATTTTATTTCATAGATATAATGAGCTATAGTGGTGTCAACGTCTAATAAGTATGTGGGTCGCGAGGAAAAATACCCCGCTACCCTCCCCCGCCGGTCGGGTCAATGAAACTTACAACTTTTTGAATTTAAGGGGGTTAATATTCCTCGATGCGATGTTTAACAAATTCTGCCGCTTTTGGAAGTTGCATTTGTAAGTTATTCCGGCTCGCTGTCAAACCAGGTAAGCTTTCAGGAAAAGTTGGGAAGTTTCTTCGCTATTCTTTTATGAAACTTTTGTTGAACTTAAAAATGCGTTTGCCCTTCGCTTTGTCCCAGAATAGTTTAATCAGACGCTGTGGACATTTGACGGTTACATATTGTAACGAATAAAAAAACTGTAACAAACTCATAAGAAAAATAGGCTCTGTTTTTTCTCACCTTACATTTTCGGCGAGACAAGTACGCAAGTTGAACTTGTCAATTACATGGAGTCAAAAGGTGAAAAGCGAACATGAAACTTAAATTTACTCAGTTTCTTGAGTACGAAAATTCATAGATTAATGTTTCTACCTTCACTCCTTCCTAACCCAGGGATCGACATGATTTATCCCAGCCTTGTATTTTCTAATCCTCTTTCTGTTGCCTAGTTGTTTTTATTTTAATATTCAGCTTGGAGTCCACAAGACCACAACGTCTAAAATTATAAAATTGGCGCGAAAAGAGATCGCGCTCTTCAGTTAATTTATTTCTTTAGTCATTCCGCAAGTATCGTATTTCGCATAATTATGGCATGCCGCAGGTCATGCCACATGCCATTCCGCAAACTCATGCCGCCTTTTACCCTCACCGCTATTTTCGACGGTAAGGGCAAAAGGCAGAATAAGTTTGCAGAATGGCATTTGGCATGACGAGCGGAATGGCATAATTATGCGAAATATGAGATACTCGGCCGCATATCAAAAGATCCATGACCGATTTGAAATTCCAAAGTATTACACAATTTTCTTACCCTTTCAAACAATAAGCAAAAACTTAGGGACTATCTCCAATCATTGTGATTTTTTACCATTAATTCCTGATTACGTGTTTATCCCTATTTAAGACAATACGGATATGTCAATATCAAAATACTCTGCTGCGGTAGCGCTATACAAATAACTGCACGGAATTGAGTCAGACTGTTTGTTTAGAGTGGGTTTTGTCTCTTGGTTCTCTTCCATGTCGCTCTCGTTTTTCAATGCGTTGATGAAGGTTTCGGCATGTAAAGCCGACATAATCCGCATTGCACAGATTACAATGAATAAGATAAACAATGCATGGCTGATACACAATGGGGGTTTCTCCGTGAGACCTTCGTATTTGACATGGAATAGCTTCCAGGAAAATGAAAGCTCAGTTAAAGCGCGATTCTCTTGCGATTCACCATCATACTGCTATTCAAGGAGAATTGTGAAAAAAGTTAGGGATCACCGACCATTTGATAGAGTAAGCTGCAGTACAAGTGGCTTCTAGTCCAATATCCGCTCGTGTATGACGACGTAGTTTGATGTCGAGACATGAATTGTGTGCAGTAAGGATAGGCAGTGAACAATTAATGGGAACAATGTATTGTACGACTGCTTACCATTGGATGATGGATCAAGTGTCAATTTTTCGTTAATCGCACATTATGTCGGAACAAACACTTTCTTTTTTAGAATAAAAAAAATTGTTTTCCTGCTCTGGAATCATAATTTTAAATTATAAAAAATATAAAAATTCTGTACACAGAGCGCAATTAAAATTTTTTAAAGTGGGATATTTCGTTGGGATCCACCGAACTTCGTCAGCCACAATGCAAATTTGAATGTTAAGAATGTTAATGGACCCGGGAGAGCTAAGATGGTGTCATAGATGCTGGCTAATTCGAAGCCGTTGTCTCTGGGCTTACGTAATTTGATCTCAATTGCCTTCCTTATGCGGCGTTTGAATGTGTTACTTTCCGTGGCAAGAACTTTTGTTTTGCTGGAACCCACTGAATGACCCGTGAGCTGGCAATGTTCATGAACAGCTGACGAATTCCTAGAAAGATGTTCCTTTACTCTGTTTTTTTAATAACCGAGAAGTTTCGCCCACATAATCCTTATCACATTGTTCGCAATGGAGGTGATAGACTGTTCCACACTTTTTAAGATTTTCTGTTTTGTCCTTAATATAAAATAGTTGTGATCTTAACGAATTGAAAGGCTTGTGGACAAGTGTAACTTCGTGTGATTTGAATGCTCTTTTAAGGCGTTCCGAAGTGCCCTTGATGTATGGCACTGAAGCATAAATTCTCTTCT